TTACAGTCGACCCCCCTATAAGATCGTTGATTTTTCCGTTTTATCTGAATTACATGTTGTACGAGTCACTTAGATTTTACAAATACGTGTGCCGGGCTGTGAACGGCTCACATATTTGTAAAATCTAAGTGACTCGTACAACATGTAATTCAGATAAAACGGAAAAATCAATGATCTTATAGGGGGATCGACTGTATTAGAAAATGCGCCCGCCGTTTGGTGCGCTGCTCCGCAATGAAAACATGCTTAAGCAATGGCATCGTCGAATGGGGCACACCCGGTAAGTAGTCCTACAACTTTTTGTTTATAGCATAGTTTATATGGATTATTCCCAAAAAATTATACGTGTTTTGGAAAAGTCGAGTCAAATTAGTCTAGAATCGATTAATTTTACGGAAGAAAACCTTTCAAACAGCCGTAGTCCGTAAACTGCACACGTGCTGGGCTATGATTGGCTCATGTATTTAAGGATTCCTATAACGTAAAATTCTTATAAAGTGGAACGCATCTACTGCGTTATAGAGGGGTCAACTGTAATAAATTTATTTGAGGGATAAAAACGATATATGTTTAATTAATTTAATATGAACTGTCAATGTGTCGTAAAGTTCTACTTGACAATTGGTTAATTTAAAAATCTATTCTTTGTTGTTTCATTCTGAGATTCAAATATATTCTGTTTTCAAAGCTGAGGATGGCCTAATAAAGGCTGAAAACATTTCTTGAGTAATGAAAGGTTTTAGTGTTCTTAAGAAGCAGATATGTTGACTGATGAATTTTTAATTCTCATAAATCATAAATGTTTAAAATACTATAAATTTTTAAGTAATAATTAAAAAAAATTAGTAGCTACAAACTATATGACAAAATTTATTTCTAATATCTTAAGGTATCTTTTTGTCAAGTTTCTTCTTTTTAAGATTTGAGTCATTACTTATTCAAGTGAAAATGAGAACTAGTTACATTATTACAATCCTTATCAGAGTATTAGCAACTTAATTCATTTAATCATAAAATGAAAGCTTTAAAAACAGTGAAGACAAAATAAGGCTTACAAATGGAAAATAGAATTCTTCCTTGAAAGTTGTTTTGTAAAATAAAATTGTAGAATAAACAGAGCACCTTGTAACTCCAGCAGTAAATTTAATTAATAAATCAAAACATTTTCAACCTAATATCAATATGCATTAGAAACTTATGCCACCAATCAAGATGTACAGATAAAGCAAGAAGAGATCAAGATCTTTAGACTGACTAGGAATCCTAATATTATTAAGTTCCTATAACTCTCAGAAATTTTTAAAACCAACCAAAAACTATTTTGTATCAATCATAGGGATGCTGACACCTTACATATAGCATGAAAATCCATTTATGTAATGTAATTTGAGACTTGGCTATATTATAATTGTTTTTGTTATATCAATTTCTATTTTTAGCACTTTTATACCATTTTGTCTGTTTAATTAATTAATATGTTGGACTGCAATTTGAAAAAATTGTAGACCTATAAATTCCCACTGCCATTCATCTGTCTTTCCTTAATCTCAAGAACAAAGTTAGATAGATGAAAGATAAGATCAGATGTGGAAACCTTAGGGGCAGTAGGCCCCGAGTAACTACATACAGACTTTCAATGCAAACCAGAAGTCGTTATTTCAATTCAAACATTTTTCGTTGAAAGGTGTTTGTTAGATGACTGGCACAACTCTATTGTTAAAGGAAAAGTATGATGTACAGGGGCAAGCCACTACTAATTTGAGGACAGCATATATTTTAAATTAAATAAATTAAAAATATGATTAAAATTGCAGCCCAGCATTGTGACAATGCCACAATTAATAATTGCTCGTTAATTTTAATTTTTTATGTGAACACTATCTTTAGAGTGCTTTTTAATTTTTAAATTATTTCTATTACATTTGATATGCTTATGTTTGTTTTATTTTAAATTCATGTACTTCACTGAGGAAGGCCTATGATATTACGTCAAAACATTTTGATTTATTAAATTTAGTGCTGAAGTTACAAGATGTTCTGTTTATTCTACTTATTCTCTGGTTAGATCTTATTTAAATGAAATTGTAATAAAAAAAAAAAAAAAAAAGAGAGAGAGAATATACATACAAGAGGGTGAAGAGAAAATAGAAATCGTGATGATCAGATACATAAAAATATGCTATTAGAAAAACAAGGGACAGAATTTGAAATTGAAGTGTATATAGACACAAAATGGTGACTTGGAAGAATGCAACATTAATACCAGAAAAATCGAGCGCACATAATATTTTTGAGAATATAATTCCATAAATCTAAATACTAACTTATAAATTTTCAAAACTTATTTCTGAATTAAAGAGTTTTGAATTTCTGTTTACTATAGGTGAAGTTTTATATTTATGTTATTTATTATACAAGTCATGTAAGATATGAATTCCAAAAAGAAAGAATACACATATAAGAAGAGAAATATTGTGAAATCAAGTGAAAGTTCATCAATTTCAGGCAATAAAATATATTAAGAGTTTCTTTCAACATTCTAGCTAAGAAAATGGAACAACCTACAGGAAGTATAGAATCAAGATAAAATTTTGTTATAGTAATCAAACAAGAATAGGAAAAAGAAAAACTTAAAATTTTAACAGTAAGATAGATATATATTAACAGCAATAACTCAATAGTTTTAAAAATTTAAAGATGTTCAAATACCAAAATACTTAACTATGAGATTTTATAAGAAATAAAATTCTAATAAGTTTTCCAACCTGACATTTCATATATACAACTAAAAAGAATAAACAAAGAAAAGCAACCCTAAATTTTTTCAAATATATAAAGACTAAGAAGTATTTAATGTATTATTGAGAAATTAATAGTAAATACATAAAAAATATCTCCGGTCAAATTAACAGATAATGTTAATATAATCAGAATAAACTTTGAATCAATCATAAGTTTAAAACTGAAAACTTCTTAAAATATGTTTTGGTTTAATATTAAATTTTCTGAAGAAATGAATTCTCAGTACTAAATAGAAGCAGTCCTATTACTAGAAATAAATGTAAAATATTCTTTGTACACTATTCATTGTTCCCTTCTATAAATAAAGCTGCAATTTTGTAATTTAATATCATTTTATTGTTAATTTTTATATAATATTAATTGTATGTATGTATAATATATCATATTTTTTTATATGAGCAAAATGTCTCTGTGAGAGACATTTATTGTCTCATATTTTTATTTTATCATAAATCTTGTATGACAAAGAGAAAAATCAATAATTCATATTTTAATTAAGTTCCATATTTTGTAATATTCAAAAAGCAATTAACTAATTCTTGCATGAAATGATAGCACCTCAATTTATATTCAAATTTCTCTGTATATTTGATGATATTTTCTATATAAAACAAAGAGAATCTGTATGATCTACAATTTTGTAAAAATTAGTTTCACTGTTTACTTCAAACATAAATGATCAACAAAGTTTTGAAGTGTAATAAATTCATTTTTATGCAAAAACTTATATTAATTTTTTTAAAAAATTCAATAAAATGTATCTACTGAGTATTTAGAATTGTTTAATTAAGTTATGAAAGTTTCATAAATGTTTCCAAGTAACTTTTGAAATTCATAGCAAGCAAAAAAAAAAAATATATATATATATAAACAATAAACATTTTTTAGCTACTTTACAGTCTTTTATAAAATACATATAATGAAAATTTCCATAGTAAAGAATATATTTAAAACAATGTTTTCACATTACCTAATTTAATTTATTGATTTTGAAAAAGTTTATTGTATTTTTTCAAATACTATGTACAGTATAACTTCCAAATAGCATACAGCGTCGAGATCAAGAAATTTGCCTTTTAGAAGTAAATATTATAGATGTCCTATTTGAAGGGTCTGGGGGATTGTAAAGATGTGTTAAGTAGAGGTGTTATTCAGGAGTGTATTAATGGAGGTTTCACTGTATTTGAAAAAACAATATTTGCTTTAAACATTTTTTTTACAATGAAAAATTTTTATATATATTATTTAGACTGTAAAGTATTTTAAAATGTTTTTTAATTAAAAATATTTTGAGTCAAATTTTTTAATATTTGAACATATATTTAAACAAGTTTGTTACAGTTACTTTATTATTAATAATTAAAATCATTTTCCCTAATAAATAAATATTAAACCTGAAAATATTTTAGTTCAAACTTGAAACAAATAAAAATTCCATTTTTTAAGATTCTATTTAATTTAATGACTGTTGATTTTAGATAAATTTAAATCTTCAGAAATACTGTATGTTCAAAATGCAATATTTTTCAAAATTTCATTTTAGAATGTATTTCTGAAGAGGGATCAAATTCATCTAAAAGTATAGTCATTAAACTAAGCAAAAATTCTAAAAAATGTTTTTGTTTGTTTTAAGTTTATTAAAGAGAATTGTAATCACCTGAAGTTAGTATATTCATTGAATTATGATATTAATATTAATTCAATAAATATATGTAAATTCTTGAAATACAAATCTATAATATGAATTATGATTTAAAGTGAAAATATGATTTCATTAAAAAAAAATAAAAAAATATACTGATATTTTCATCATTATTCCGTAGGCCCATATTTTTCCAACTGCAAAGTGACACGATACACAAATATTTTGGCCACCTTTATTATCACGAAAATACAAAATTAATATTCATCCAAATTATTCATAATAGACCATATTTTTAACAATTTGTTTTTCAAGTTTTGTTAACACCAAAATATAAACTTACAGTTTAGCCACACCAAAACAATCTTCCTATAATGCTGTTTATGATGTAGAGAATATGACTGTATATAAAGTTCTGCATCTTATTTGATTTTATCAATATTTAATGAAACAGGTGGCAATTAGTTTTTATTGTGTTATAAGAAATTAAAATGTTGAAATATACCCCCCGAATGATCCTAACCTGACAAGAATATAAAATACAGCTAATATTAGCAATTAGCCTATTTTATGAAATTCTAATGCAAATCATACTTACAGATCCCAGTCATTTCAAAATTTGTTGCAACACTTTCAGATTAGAATTTATTTTTGTTTACACAATGTATAGTTTTAACTGAAAATGGATGGTTATGCATTTATTATAACAAATGAAATACTATAAAAACAAAAGAAAAAAAAAATTAATCACATTGTGCCACTGTTTTGTATCTATAACCGTTTAATACCGTTACGACAGTACTACCACGACCTATAAAAATTATGATTTAAAGTCAGTATGATTTTCTGACCTTGCTGACATGGTAACAGAAGGGTTAGGGTGCAATATAGCGAAAAATAGAAAAAGCAAGCAAATTTTGATGACACGTTCAAAAGAGTAAAAGATATTCCAACGGGAGACTTCGTTTTTTTCACGAAATTTAAAGAAAGTCTCCAGTTCAAAACACGTCCACGATGCGTCCGTCACTCAAAAGTCGGGTCATCGGTGAAGTTATACCTCTCCGGAGGTCTGGACACCGAAGGCGGTCCCGGAGCGGGCCCCCCCGACAAATGCGGCGGAGGCGCAGGAGGAGGAGCATATCCGTACTCCTCATAGGGACGACGATAATAGTAGTAGTAGTAATCGTCTCTCGGAATCGACGGGTGAGGAGGACCATGTCTCCGTTCATAGGGATCCGGATAGGGTCTCATTCTGTCCGGCGCGTATCTCTGACCATACGAGCGTTCCACGAATCCGCCACCGTAGCGAGGCATGGGCCGATCACCATAGCCTCCAGGGGAATGCATAGGATGCATATGATACTTGTATACCAAGCGAGCATTTGGATTCTTGGGGCATTCTTTCGACCAATGACCTTGTCTTCCACATCTGTAGCACTGCCCCTTTCCACCCATTCCCGGCTTTTGTCTAACTTTGCTGTGCGAAATTTCCACGGTTATCTTGGATCCCATGAACTCGAAGTTGTTCAAAGCCTCGATAACGGTTTTGGCCTCATCTTCAGTCGACATGTGAACGAAACCGTAGTTTTTGACGATATCGCACTCCTCTACTTTACCGTGTTGCTCGAACAGCGATTGTAAATCGCTCAGGGGACAGTTCTCCGGCAAATTTCCGACGTAAAGTTTAGTACGACCCATTTTTCTTTCTCTCGATATTCAGTTTAAGCCTAACGAAGGACCAATACACGCACGACCGATTAACGAGAGGAATACGTTACTGTTCGGTAACACGTGTACTAATCAACGACGGTAAGGTGGTAATTGATCTCCTTGATAAGATTAGTCCTGTTTGTTGATAGTTTTCGTACCTTTTCTTATGTGATTCAGGCGCGAAACGAAGAATAAGATGTCCCAATCGATAACTCAAACCAGCGTTTTAACCTCCAACCAGACGAACATTCATCTTTACCCATAGACATCGGTCGCTTCTTAACCTCAAACCTCACAAACTATCGACCTTTCTTTGTTTAATCTTTGTCTTCATCTAATAAATTCCACTAATAATTTCCCATTTCATATTTATCAATATTTTAAAATATTTTTAAATAAAATAATTAATTTACATTAATTGACGTCATAATTTAGTGGTTCGTGAATAAGCGACTTTCGATTTTCGAATGTTCTCTGGAGTATAACATACTACTGTACATACTGGTTGCTATTCAACTGTAACAGATTGTTATTTAAAAAATAAAAATAATAGGCCAAAAATAACAGGCGATACGAAATACACCTCGTACGTTTTGTGTATACAGCTGGATTAGGTAGCTTGAATTTTGCTGCTACTCACAAGAATTTAATCCAGCTTAAGGCCGAGACTCCACTAGCGTAAAACTCTTGCCGCAATTATTTCCAATCGCGTGACCATGATATTCTAATTCCCTTTACGCGAGAGCAGTTAGACGGGAATTATATAAATTTTAACAAACTTATGTTATATAATTATATAAATCCCACTCCGTGTGGGGATATCACTCTCATATTCACTATTCCTCCCTCACGAGTTAACAAATGCGAAGAAGTTCTCACTTCCGAGCGTTTTTGTCTGTACAATATTTAACTCGTGAAGAATTCGCTGAATGTACTGTACCTTGATTTTAGTCACTTTATCCCTCACCCTTTTTCACTGTCAGAGTCTCTAAAGCACTGTTCCAAAGAGAGTCTGATTCTTTCAATATATGTATACATATACATACATATATCCTAGTGGCATGCAATACGCAGAATAAAAAAATACTTTCGCCCCATTCCCGCACGTGCTCATTAGTCCTCCTTGAATGATCTCCTAAGCCCGCTCGATGGTTAAGTCCGAAGAGAAGAAGCCCAAAAAGGAGAGAAGATGGCCAACACACCAATTTTCTTGTTTTTATATCTCTAAATTGTTATGTTTTCTTTTCCACCAATCAGGACGCGAAAACAATGGCACAGTCAGACTTATTCAGACCTCACCTGATGGGACAAGACGTTCTTGACTCCAGCAATAAGTAGGCAAGACGTGTTATAAAACCGCAGGGCGAAAATGGCTGCATTCATCAGAGTCAACATTTGTAAATGAGCAAAGGTATTTCAATTGGTAGCTGTTATGTAGTTACCTCTGCTAAACGATGAGCTATGTATGTGTTGGAATAGGAAGCAGCCATCATTGATCAATTGCAGCTAGCGATACGTAGCGTAAATGAAAGACGCTACTAAATGTGACGTCAAAATACCAAACATGTTCCGAAACAGTGCTAATGTACAGGGCGTTCAGCAGAAAAATACCCAACAAATCCGAAACTGTTGAGTCTGCTGAACGCAGTCAATAACACAATAAACATCACAAACATGTGATGGAAGTACCGCAATACGTTACGTCGGAGCAGGGCGAAGAACGAGTGTAAAGTGAGTTGGCAGTGTTCAACTTTTGACACGAATACGACTAAGGTTCCTTAATTAAACACGGTCTGACTTACGTGCCACTTTTAGGCCAAATCAGGATCAGTGACGTAGCGTGGGTGTCAGCCGCCCGGGGCGGAGGAAAATTTCGCCGCCCCCTTATTTAGGTATCTCAATTTAAAAGACTAAATTCAGTTTCGTCACAGAATAAGTAATGAAAAATTCCGTGCTCATTTCAATCAGTCCGAATCGTAGGTGCGGCAAAAATATGAAATGAAATGGTCCAAATTTTTACAAGATATTATTATTATTTGTTGTGAAATTTTGCCGCTCCCTAAAAGTGCCGCCCAGGGCGGGCACTTTTAGGGAGCCCTGGGCGGCCCTGCCGTCCCCACTACGCTACGCTACTGATCAGGATACTACAGTCTGTTACCATGTGTTTGCTGTAACTTAACGTTAAATTTTAAGGCGATCGAAATGGGTGATTGAATGGGTGTTGATGGGTGCGTGATTGTTTTGAAGTTAATTGCATAAATCATTCGAAATAAAGGCCCACCAGTGGCCAAGCGGTCTTCGTACCCTGAACACTGGCAGCCGATTGCAGAGACAACGTTTAGAGACCGACAGCGGTTTACAGATCGGGTAGACCTTATAGAGCCGTAACTAGCCATTCCTGTGCCCTGTGCAAGAATTTGCATTTAGGCCCCTTAATTTATTTGGTTTTGGGGAAAATAATAAAACAAATACATTACAATAGATTTTTAATAATATTTTTTTAATTAATTGAATTTTTCTGGCTTTCATTTTAGCAAATTCATCACAGAGCCGTAACTAGGATTTTGGACGCCTATGGCCAAGAATAAAAATGGCGCCTTTTTAATTTTTATTATTAAAAAATAATTTTATTTAAAAAAAATGCTATTGTAAAAATTTTTCTAGTGACGTTTAAATACTATACAGGGTGTATCAGAACGTTTTAAAAATTTGGGGGATTGTAAAGGATGAAATTTTGAACGTTTTGATACGAGAAACCTATAGCCGGAAAAGTGATAGAACGTTTCTACAGCACTTTGCACGTTCTATGCGGTCGGTATGTTGCACTGGCATTCCCTCGAGCTTCACCAAAACACAAATGCATGTTAGCAAGTTCTCCAAATGTGTAGTTACCCTCCAAGAAGCCAGAACGTATCCACAGTACGTAAAGCACGATAAGCGGACAACTGTACACTGACTCACGTTGACTAGCTGTGTGTTTACAGCACAGCGCCAGTGGATGCAAGGGGTGACCTGAAGAACGGCAGGCACTAAGTACACAACGTCTTGTACACAGGCTCAGTTAGACTACTGTAGTTGTGTGTTTACAGTCTTCCATCAGCAGCAATAACATGACGTCAATGGACGGAAGGGTAGCTACCAAAGTGAAGGGCGGTCAAGCACTTCCTACCGCTGTAGACACTTTAGTTCAAATTTCCAGCTATAGGT